TATATAGCTGTTTTTAAAGTGACTAGCGCATTAACTGATTCTACTTTAACACATTTACAATACGTTTCTAATTGTTGCTCTCCAATTAGAAATCATGTGAAAATTCTGTTTTCAAAAAATCTGCTGCTTCTCTGCAATCTTAATAGATGGTTCATTGCTTCACAATGACAACCAGCATGAGGTCATAATTGACCAAAGTTTTTATTTAGTCTCACATCGCTGCGTTACCCCTGGAGTAATTCCACAACATCTAATCTGTAAAGTATCTTGGAGGGATTTGAAGCATTTTAAAAGGCTTAGCCATCCTCTGGTATCATCGCTGTCTCGGCGGACTACTTTTTAGGCCGAGTCCTGCCGCTGCGGTGATACATTTCTAATTCCAGCCCGTGCTTAAATATTCAATAAACTTAACCCTCTCCAGTATAAACAAATGCCCTCTAAAGAGCCCCCAAATTTGGCTGAGCTGTGTCTGAGAGGACGCAGGCTGGTATGTGCTGTGTATACAGTGTCTGCCCTATGTGTGTGTTATGAAGGTGGTTGTCATTTCTGCTCCTACAGCCACGGTGTCTGAGCCAGTCTCTGTTCTCTTGCAGGCGACTGGGAGTGCTACCCACATGACCCCACTGTTTGGCATGTAAGTCACTGGTTTTTTACTTCTTCTGTTTTTCTTTCTTTCCTTTTTAAATCACCTTGAAGCAGTAATAGTTGTGTCAACACTGATGTGCATGTACAGTATGTAGGTGTTATCATATATATATACTTGTGCAGGTGCTATCAGGTTCTCATCCAGTGTGATCACTTTTCAATCAGTCCCTGTGGTGCTCTCTCCCTCCATCATTTGCTGTCTCTCTGCTTAATATTTGACCTTTTAGCTACACATATCTAGCTAGCTACCCATTTATTCCAAAGAATCCATTACTGTGAAACTCATGACTTCTTGTTTAGCACATTTCCAGGAATGAACTACCAGATCTTCGGTGTTTATAGCAGCAGCAAAGCTTTTAGGGGTTTAGTTTACTCATGCACTATATCCATTGATGATTATGGATAAAATACAGTCAATAATATCAGTGTATGAATTTTTTATTATTTACTTATTAACTAATGTATTTCTAGGAAATTGCTGCAAATGGTCACAACCTTCAGTCCAGTGTAATCATTTGGAATAAGATGCAGGGAAACTGCATCGTGCAACAATGCATCAAAATGCCAGTAAGGATGATAGATTTATTAGGATTTTTATTTTTATTTTTACGGTGCAATAACCAGGATTGTCACAAAAAAGCAAATTGCCGTAAACCAAATAGTATGTTTTGGTCGATCGTTTCCACTTGCTCATGTAGGCAAGACTCCCACGGAGACGTACCTAAGAAATCATGTTTGTTATAATAAACCTTGTCCGATGTAACCGACAACTGTTTGAAATCTGGAATGATTGATTATGTTCTGCTTTTTTAATTGATGATGACAATCACAAGATACTTAAAATTGCAAAAGATAAGTACACGTAAAACTAAAGTGTAAAAAATGTTCTGCTGAAGACATCCTGCTAGTTGACACATCACGCTGTGTCCATCCAGCATTTAGTTTCTTTTTTTATTTTGGCTGCAGGTTCTGGCTCAGTCTTGCATTGTTCAGCAGTTTGTACCACTTGCTTCCAGAGTTCCTCAAAGTAGGTTTCATCCCTACAGTCTTAAGAGTTTGCACAAGACAAAATCCAATAAATGCATCTGTACAGGGAACGGCCATAGAGAAATGGTTCTGTAAAAAAAAAAAAAAGAGTTGTGCCAGCAAAATAGTGGTGACTGGATGTAACTCCACTCTTATGAGTACAAGTGTAGCCCTCGAGCATGCTTCACTGTTGGTTGTGTGAGGTGGCCAAACCGAGCTACCGTTTGGATACGCCCCTGTCCACAAGCAAATAAAAATATAGAAAAAAATAGTTCTAAGCATTCAGTTTGCAGGAGGGAATTGTGCTGTTATGATAGAAGAAGTGTTCCCTGTGTTCCAATCAGGATTCTTCAACCAATTTTTGATGCTCTCGTCTCAATGCACGAATGAAATTTATCCTCACCAACACCCTGATCATAAAGACCACATAAACCCTTGTGCTCTTCATTAGTGCCTTTATTACCCCAACATGAGAGACTGAGCTAACATCCCAGTTCTTAAGTGAGCACACAGTGACCTCTGCCTTCTCTGTTAATTACATTTTATTTATGGTTATGTGATGTAACATTATGCATGCAATTCCAAAGCTTTGGCTAATTGTATTTTTCATAATGGAGCTTCAATACTTTGTGTTTGACTATGTTTGTAGAACACTGCAAACTATTGTTGATGTGACAAAACATGCATTTAACCACATTATTAGTGAATCCATGTGAATGTGTCGTGACTGTATTGAAAAGGAAAACTTTTTTGCAAATGGGAGACAGGTGGCTAAGGTTTAAAAGGCTTTTAGAATCATAACCTGCCAGCGTTTCTTTGGTAGTATCGCATTTTTTGATTCTTTTAGTTCTTTTAATTCAATGCTCACATACATTTGAAGCGGTGTATATTTCTTCTGCAACCGTCTCGTGTTTCTCGCTGCAGCATCCTGTAACCTGGCAGCCGTCCAAAGAGGGAGACCATCTGATTGGACGAATCACCCTCAGCAAGAGGAGCGCCACCATGCCTAAAGAAGCCGGAGCTTTGCTGGGGTTAAAGGTCAGAGGATGACCGACATGCAAAAAAGTTACACTTGTGGTTTAGTCTGTTTGTTAGAAAGGGCTTCATTCAGTCTTGTCTGTATCTCTTTTGAAAGGGTTTTTACAGCTCACCTCCCCTCTGTCTCTCTGTGTCCGTGTCCTGCTAGGTGGTGGGAGGCAGAGTAACGGAGTCAGGGAGATTAGGTGCCTTCATCACCAAAGTCAAGAAGGGAAGCCTGGCTGACGTGGTGGGACATCTCAGAGCAGGTACACGCTAAACCATCACAGCAGAAAACTTTTGTATCTTATTTTCTTTCTTGAAAAGTCTAAAACGAAGACATTTTTTTAAGCTTTATAGTTGCGACATAAAACACACAAAGCTGGTAATGTTCTGTGTTTTTGTAAATGTCGACAAATCTCATAAAATATTCAATAAATAACTGATCACACCATGTCTTCTTCCTCTGTGCCAAGTAGTCCCTAATCTACCTGTAACACTTGTTAAAAACTACAGTGACCTGCTTTTCTAGATTTAGTTTTAAAACCAATCAAACTATACACTAGATTTTGAATTCTTTTCGTGGAATTTGGTAATGTTAAGAAAATCTCATCTTTTTGATACACACTGATAACCCGGACACATATGCAGCCCTCACGCTGAACTAGAGGTAAATATAAGATCTATTTGTTTGCTTCATGCAACATCTCAGCCATAAACAGCCGCACATGTTCTGCGCGTGGACGTCTGATTTCAGGGGATGAGGTTTTGCAGTGGAACGGGAAGCTGTTACCGGGGGCGACCATGAAGGAAGTTTACAACATCATCCTGGAATCTCAAGCCGAGCCTCAAGTGGAGCTTGTGGTATCCAGGCCTATTGGGTAAGTCAGGAATCAAACACGGCAGATAAACACACTGTCAGCGCCACGTTCGGCATGAATGAGAAAAATGCAACCCTCTAGTCTCATTAGTCACCAGTTAATGTGTTGTGTTGAGTTGAACCCTTCTTTTTACTAGGCAGCATTGACTGAAGCTCTGACTCAGAGTTGGCTGACCTCAGATAAGACAGGAGACTGGGACACGTATTTGTATTCTGACCGTGACTGTGCAGCTGCATTCAAAATATTAAAAACAGCCAGCCGTTACCTGCTGCTGGCGTGTGCCAAGTTTTGGGAACGGGAGATTTCCATTTTGTCTCATGTGTCCCCTTTAAAAAGGCACTTGCGTTTATTTGTAGGATGGTATAAGGTGAATTATTATTGACCAAATAAAATCAGCTGCAAGCTCCATAAAAGACAAGCAGCGGCTGCAGATGATATGTTCGGTTGATGCCTTGTAAAAGCCCAACCATGCCGGTCATGAACAGTTCTTGAGGGGTAGCATAAATGGCCTGCTGTTTGAAAGTGACTGGCTTGATTTTCTTTTTATTATGACTGTACGCTTTTGAGTCTTAAGTGTGATTATGTCAGTCAGATAATGCTTTATATGTTCTCTGTTGTGATGCCAGTCTGTAAAGGTAAATTCTCCATGCTGATCGAGGTTGTGCTGCTTTTCAGAATGTTGTGGATGTAGTCTTTATATTAAGGAACATTTCACATCCATCCTAAAATCCAAATCATAGCTGATAATTTGTTGAAATACACAAACGACTATAGAACACAGTGAGACTATGCTCACAGTATTTGTGTCTGGTTTGGATGATAGATGTGCTGATAAACGGTTTGTCTGCTGAGCTGTGCTGTGAGAGACACTCACAAGTTTATTTAAACAAATCCATGGACACAGTTTTTTCTCAGAAAGGGCTTGTTTTCACACTTGGATTACAACGCTTTCAACGTACCTCACTGTACTTCAAGAACAGATATAATCTGTCCTTACGAACGATTTTATAGGCCTATATTTTCTAAATTATATCCTATATATATATATATATATCCTATTATAACTTCTGTGGATGTTTTAATGAAAGAACCCTGTCACCTAGTCCACGTGATATGGAAAAAATCCTTTAAAAAAAGGATTATTAAAATAAAGAAAATGCTTCTTCCTCGCTGACATTAGCAATGCATTGGAATATATTAGTGCAAAGAGCTGAAACTGAAAACTGCCTCTACTCCTGTGTAGTTAATGACAAATTGCGTAGTTGTTTCCCAGAAACTTTTTAAATATATCTTTTTTAAAAATTAAGTAATAGTTTATTTTAAGTGTCCAGTATTTTCTATTTTCATTTCCTTAAAATTAACCTATAATTTAGCTGTAGATTACTAGATCAGTTAGAAACAAGGTCTAGACAGTTTAGCAGTAATCATGTGGGTGTTGGAGAACATATTTGGTTATGGAGTCTGTGCTTGTTACATTTGAGTTTGGAAAAATAGGAAATCATGCATTAGGTAAGTAAAAAATAGTTTAAAAACATCTGTCTTGTCAGCAACGTTTAAAAAAAAATTGTCTTAATTGTTGATTTGATAGAAAATGTTTTATCTGGTTTCTTAAAAAAAAAATAGGTAAAAATATGTTTGCAGGTAGAACAAAATTTTGTAATGTGTAAATGTTGTGAGTGTGGGAGACAGATTGAAATTGACGTCAGTTTATGAACTATTTATTACTGGACCACTACACAATTTCCTCCTTTTTAAAAACTCAAATATTGGGTATTTCCTGGGTATAGACACTTCATCCATTTCCCCTGTGACTGACGGTAAATTGTGTTGCACTTTTTTTTTTGGAAGTATCCTTGTAATTTGCTCCTGAAAACTTATTGTTATACAAATTATAAGAAACATTTTCCAAGAAAGTAGCTGGAAGGTAACTCGTGACTGAAAATTATTCAGGAACTACATTAAATACAGCACTACGGTAGCATTTTACACATCTCAAGCAGTAGTTCATAGCCTATGATTCAGGATTAGCTGTAGAGTGTGAATTCTGTTGTACACTTTCTCATCTTTTAAATATTAACCTCATTTGCTCTTTAATGGAAAACAAAGTTGAATGTATTAATTTCTCCCCAAACACTCACGAAGGGTGTATAGAAAATATCAGTAAGTAATCTGCACATTTTATTAGGACCCCTTAATCCTCTCACGCTTATGGAAACTACTTTAGTTTTGCTTTTGCCATTTTGCGTCCCTAAATGAACTTGAATCCTTTTTATTAGGGATGCCAACTGATGCACACCTAATTTTTTTTTGTGTGAAAATATTTGCATTTTGTTCTATCCAGCTAAATTAAACTGGAGTTCAATTGATGGGATGCAAAATGGCCAATGGGAGACTCATGAATGTAGCAACGCTTTTGCAAGCTTTTGAGCCTTCTGCGCAACATCTGCAATTCCTCTTTTTCATTTCTGGTGAAGCCTGAGGATCCAAAAGTGAAATCTAGCACTAACACTACTTGAATTCTTAGGTATTAACGTTGGGACATTGGGATTCATAAAGCAAGCTATATTTGTTTTTATTTCATTTACATGTTTCCAATTTTTGATTTTGGAATGGGCTACAAAGCTACCTATGTTGCATGGAACACTTATCAGTGTAATGTTTGAATTTAGAATCAGAATTTGAAATATAAAAACTTGCTTTCTCTCCAAGACTGAAGTAAGAAGATGCGTTCACTCTCATGGTTTTACATTCAGTACAGAGCTGGAGCTGGGTCATGGTTAGCGTAGGTGTCTCACGTCTTATACTAAATAAAGCTAACCAAGGTAAACGTCCAGACTCCAGCTCTACACTCAATGCACAGACATGTGAGTGGTATCTGTCTTCACCTATAACTCTCAGAAACATGAAGGAAAATGTTGTAGAACATCAGTTTGTTGCCTCCTGGGTAAGAATTATTAACACTTCCTACTTATGTGCTATAGTCCAAAACATATCAGTGGCGGGGCTGCAAGTTTAACACATGCAAGATTTTTTCCTTTTTAAAAACATGCATTGAAACCAATAAATTACACTGATAAGTGTTGCATAGATTACCATGCTTACTTTATCTGACATCGAGCTGGTGCAGTGGATTCTGGTGTTTCCCATGGGTGGTGGTGGTGGTGGATAAGAAAAGACGGTGGTGTGGTGGCAGTTGAGCTATTGGTTTCCAGCCATTATTATTTCAACTCATAATTGGACCAACGTAAATGTTTGAAAGAGTCTGGGAAACACTGCAGTCTCAAGAAGAGCTTCTCACATCTCCTCTTTGCTTTTCCATGTTTTTTTTAAAACCACATGATACCTCAATCTGAACATCCAGATAACTTTTAATTACAGTGCTACTTTCACCCCGCGTAATAACTTCTCTGTTTATATGCATGTATGCCTGTATGCCAGTTTTACTTATAAGGTTGTTTAATCCAATTTAGATGCCATTGTGAGAGGGACTGATGTGTTGTTGCTGCTTCTCTTTCAGTGATATCCCAAGAATCCCCGACACGCCCCACCCTCCATTAGAATCTAGTAGGTATCTCCTCCAAGGTGTTGGGATGTCTCTGTATTTGTTTTTATCTGTATGTTGCTCTGGCTGAATGAATGAATTATCGTTTGAAATTCAACTTTTCATGTGCAGTCTGCTTAGACTCATGGTGTCCACTTACAAGCCAAACAGCGGCTGTACTTTAAGGATTTACTCTTAACATAATACACATATTTTACGTCTACAAATACTTAGAACCTGTAAAGAACTGATTTTAAGTTCTGCACTTGTGATGAATGAATTTCATGTGAACTTAAAGGAATAGTTCAGCATGTTCTCTTTCTAGCAGTTTTATGATCTGTTGATAAATCATGGAGCAGGAAGCGTAGACTGAAGGTCTAACTAAGGTCTGGGAGCTTTTACATGAGAAAATGTGGCCGTGTTGCACTTCGGAAATAATTCAATTCAACTCTAACATTCCTAATAAATAATTCAGTAAGTCGGGATTTCACTTGAGTAAAGTACAGACATGTTAACAGAAAAAATCTACTAAAGTATCAAAAGTAGAAGTACTTATAGTGGACAGAATGACACAGTGTAATATCACTGGACCATTATTATTACTAGTACACTGAGGTGCACTGTATTCGTCAGTTTTACCTGGTTGAGGTGGAGGAAGTTTCATGTGAATGTTCAGTTTAATGTATAGCAACATTTATATCTCAGTGTGTTCCAAATTTAAATAAAGGTTAAAAAAATGAATAAACATGTACTTTTTAATGAAAACAGTTTATCTTTAACACAGCTTTTAGATGATTCAAGTTTTTAAAAAGTACGAAATGCAGCTGAGTAGACGTGTAAAGTAGCAGAAAGTGTTTCATTGAAGTTCAAGTAATTAACTAAGTACAGCACTTGGGTGTATCTAACTAAGTCTTATTATTAACATTTTTCTTGTTGCTGTTGATCAAACTAACACCCAGAAATGGCCCTTTGCCAAAACTACCGGCTGTAGCTGACAGTCTGTCCTATAGCCAGAGACAGGTGCAGTAACTTTTGATTATGTAATTTTTGAGATTTAAAGGTGATTGTTGGTTTGTTTTTACTACTTATTCTGTTATGCTAAGCTAGGCTAATTTCCAAATGGTATTGTTTGTTTTTAATGTAACTCACAGAGAAACAGAAATGTCATATCTCTTAAAAAAAACAAAACAAAAGAAAAAAACTTTAGTCTTTAATATGACTTTTCTAAATTTTAGGTTGACAATGTTTGAAAAGTGAGTGTGATGCAACTATATCTTATGTCAAGAACGTATGTCAAAATGAGGATATGAGTTTCCATATACGCAGTTACTTTCATAACATCTGATCATAAAACTGCTTTACAAAGTATATGAGGCTCCAGTTTTGCTAAATAAAAGCCTCCTGGACTCAAAGTAGGACAGACGCTTAGTCATTTGTCATCCTGACAGGTTAGCTGAGGAATGATCTGTTCTTCTTTTATATGAGAAGTTTTCCACGAAACAGAACTCTTAATAGTAGAAGTTACGCAGATGTGAACTCACTTTTGGACGTACTGGATTATTTTTTCTCTCTGACTCATGTTTCTTCTCCCCGGTGTAATAATGCTGACATTCCCTTTTTGGGGTTTCAAATATATATATTTTTTTTCTTTTGTCTTCATAGCAGGTTCCAGTTCTTTTGAGTCCCAGAAGATGGAGAGACCGTCCTTAAATGTCCTATCTCCCTCCAGTCCCGGGATGCTCCAAGACGCTCCACAGTTAATGCCAGGGCAACTCTCAGTGAGTGTGTCTACTTTGACTGCGATGGGCTCTGCTGATGTGTTCAAACGAAGACGTTGCATCAGATTTGTTTGCGTGTGTGCTTCCCATCCAGGTGAAGCTGTTGTACGACAAAGTGGGTCACCAGCTAATAGTCAACGTGCTGCAGGCTGTGGATCTTCCTCTTCGGCCTGACGGGCGACCCAGGAGCCCCTACGTCAAAATGTACTTCCTCCCCGACCGCAGGTATGACAACCACGACTTCACAGGGAGTGCTGCTCATAAAAATAGTTGCTGCTTGTTCACGTTACACTAAAGAACAATCTAGGTGGTCGGCCTGGGAGTGAAAAAGAGTTTAGATAATCAGAATATCCATGAACCATTGTGTAGAAACTACTCAAGGGCACTGTCTTCAACCCCCAGGTTTCTAAAGCCTGAATGTAATACTCACTGCCAGTTCTTTCAGTTGATTGGAATCATACAATCTATGTTTAGGCAAAGGAAGAAAGCAAGCTGGGCAAGCAGCAACCACAACTGTCAGTTATAGTGAGTCTTTCTTTAACCATCATATTTACTTAATAAAACAACACTTTGCACACTTGCCATCTCGAGTTAATTTACCTAATGAGTCTTTGACATGTTGTGTAACAGTCAAAGGGTTTCCTATTTGAAAAGGACACTTTACCTAGAAAGTTTAGCTTTAGGTTAAGACACCTTAACTAGTATAAATGCATTACAGCTGGCCGTAAATTTAGGTGAAAGCCCAAGCAGGTTTGTGATTTAGCTTTTGGGAAGTTTTGTTTTTATTCTTTTTTTTTTTTTTTTAAATCAAAAGACTTATTAGAAAGGGGCTGCAAGGTGGGTCTGTGGTTAGCACTGTTGCCTCGCAGCAAGAAGGACACCTGGGATCTTTCTGCGTGGAGTTTGCATGTTCTCTCCGTGCAGCGTGGGTTCTCTCCGGGTTCTACAGCTTCCTCCCACACAGTCCAAAAACATGTTGAGGTTAATTGGTGATTCTAAATTGTCCGTAGGTGTGAATGTGAGTGTGCTTGGTTGTCTGTCTCTAAGTGTAGCCCTGTGATAGACTGGTGACCTGTCCAGGGTGTCTCCCACCTTCGCCCTAAGTCAGCTGGGATAGGCTCCAGCCCCCCGCGACCCTCATGAGGATTAAGCGGTGTATAGATAATGGATGGACGGACTTATTAGAAAGGCTACTGAAAACACAGTTCTGCTGGCTGAGTATCTGTATTGTTTCACAGTGACAAGAGCAAACGAAGGACGAAAGCAGTGAAGAAGACCTGTGAGCCCAGGTGGAACCAGACATTCGTCTACACTCACGTCCATCGCAGGGATTTCCGCAAACACATGCTGGAGCTGACTGTGTGGGACCAACCCAGGTCACCAGAGGAGGACAGCATCTTTATGGGAGAGGTACCACACGTACTAAATGAAGGATTTGAATCATCAGTGTTTAGGGGTTCAACTCGAATTCCAACAGTGAGCTGAAATAACCTTCTGTATGCGACACACCCAGCACCATGGCAGATGGACAGTTAGTTAATAGCTGGTGAACATACAGTGGTACAGTTTGCTGTGGGTATTTCATAAATTCAGAGGAAAGACTCCTACAAACAGCTGGAGGCAACAAAGTAAACTTCAGTTCCAATTAACATTTTTGCTGAAACCTGGATTGCATTCGTTATCAGTCAGATCTGAGCTGTTTGTCTCTGTCCTCTTCATGGTAAAGTTTTATTTCTATGGACATTTCAGTTAGTAATAGGTGTGAAATTGTAGAGCAAAGTGATTTTGACATTATAATAGATAATGTTTTACTGCATCCCAACAATCTAATAATGAAGCCCATTTCTCTTTAGAAAAAAAAAGATTACTTTGACACAAAAATATGTAATTTCTACCAACAAGTCGATGTTTGAGCGGCACATATAAACACTTTCCTCTTCTATTTCCACACCACCTTCGACTGTCAATCAAATTAATGAACAGCAACAAGGTCTTTATTTACCGCTTGCAATTTTGACTCGAACAGATCCTGATAGAGCTGGAGACGGCCTTACTGGACGACAAGCCTCACTGGTATCCACTCCAAACACATGATGTCTCATCCATACCGTTGCCTCGACCCTCCCCCTACCTGCCCAGACGACACACACACACAGACGCCCCTGGCAAGAAACTGCAGCGTAAGTCTGAGTCTGCCTTTAATTGTGTGTGTTTATGTATAAGTTCTTTCACATCCTCTGAAAGTGCGTTCATCACTGTAAGAGTGAAAAGGGATTGTGAATGAGTTGCTGTCAGCGATCAAAGAATAACATGTATGTTAACGTCTGTCGTCACTACTCTTTCCTAATACTTCATTTGAATGTGTGTGTATGTGTGTGTGTGTTGTATATGCGCATCTATGTGTGTGTGTGTCTATGACTGTTTAGGTTCTCAACGTGTAACAGAGGCTGAATTTGATGAGGGTACAGCAGTAATGTCTAAAGGTGGGTGGGGACTGTTTCCTAGTATTACATGCAGTGTTTTCCAGAGCTTGTAGTTTTATTTGTGGTAATGTTTTGGGGGTTTCTTCACCACTTAAAAAAAAGTTTGATCTCTCTTTCTTTTTGCGTAAATGCATCCCATAATTTGATTTGAAAGATCGGCTGACAGACACTAAAGAACGGCAAAAATTTAGATTTGGAAATTAGTTGTATTGCATTGAGATGAAGCTACAAACTCCTGTCAGTGCTGACTTTGTAAACTTTGTTTTGTAAACTTTGTTTTGTAAACTGACCCAAAACTTTTCATGTAACATCAGATCTTGAAACTGAACTAACTTAAAATGCAAAACAAAGCCAAACATTCAAATAGTAGCTATGACAGAATGACCGATCACCACAAATAAATCAGTGCATGGGGATCACTGTCATGCTGTAGACTACGTGTTGGCATGGGACAGAAACCACACACCAGCCAGGCTTTGTTCTGCTTTGGAAATGAGTTGCATCTAAAAAAAAAACCAACACTGATAATGTGTGTATCCTTTAACAACAGAGTTAGTGACTTTAATATTACCAAGTAGAGCAGGGGTGTCCAATCCTGGTCCTCGAGGGCCGCAATCCTGCAAGTTTTAGATGTTTCTCTCTTCCAACACACCTGATTCTAATGATCAGGATCGTTATCAGGCTTCTGCAGAGCTTGATGATGAGCTGATCATTTGAATCAGGTCTGTTGGACGAGGGAAACATCTAAAACTTGCAGGATTGCGGCCGTCGAGGACCAGGATTCGACACCCCTGAAGTAGAGAATCACGTACCACCATGTATGTTGAAACACAGAGCTGTTTGTTTCTGTGTGTATTAGTGCACCTCTGTATAGTGTAAATGTCTGTGTCTGAGTGTTTGTGTCTGTGTGTTAGGGTTAGACTGGTATATAGATGTGTTTTTGTGTGAGCTGAACAGTAATCAATATTAATCATTATCCACATCCAAGTGGGGATGGAAAAAGTTCTTCTTTTTTAATTACCTCCAGTATTTAACCAGAGAATTGAGGCTGTAGTATTTCACAGTTCAAGTGTAAATACAGTTCAGTCTTATTAAAATTACACATTTATGCAAAAAAAAAGAGAAAAAATTCAGCTCAAAGTATTGTGATATTCACAGAATATCTTCTATATCAGTCGAACACTATTGTGTATCTGTATTTATTGTTAATGAGTGCCTAAGTTGGAGGAATGGATAAATGGATCTCATTACTTTGACCAACTTTTTGTTTTATTTCCATGCATGGTAGGGATAAAAGAAAAACCTTGGTCGCTCTTTCCAAAGTAAAACTAACAGCCCACTGTGAGCTTTGAGACGCTTTTCTTTTGAAAATGAAGCCAGTGACCTTGGGGCCACTACAAAGCCTGACACAGTCGCACAGATCCCTTCAAGGCTCATCAGTCTTTCTATTTATATTTTTACCTTCATATCTGCTACACCACCAAAGAAAGGTTTTTTTTTTTTTTTTATCAACTACATTTTAAAAATACAGGCCACAGTAATGAAAAATAGTCTGCAGCAGATCTATTATTAGTGTAATCTTTAAATAGTTTGTATCCGGGACAGTCTTCTTGTTGTTGTCTTACAGTGTTTAGTGCTATCAGGCTCCATGCTTTCTTGTTAGCATGTCAATGATTTTAAGATGAACTCTGTGCCAGCACTTTCTGAAACTACATTAACATGATGTAACATGGTGCTGATGTGATTTTAAACATAATTGTGGCAAGGTAGCAGGTTGTAGGCATGAATTTAAATGTAAATATTATGGACTTACATGTTGTGAGGTAGCAGGACATTAAATTGACTTTAAATTCACATGTGAGGTAGCAGGGTGTCAGCATGACATTCATCTTTTATGTTTTGAGGTTGCATGGTGTTAGTCGTGAGGTAGCAAGTTATGAGTATGATTTTAGTTGTACATGTTGTAAGGGAGGCGCTGCACGGTTGCTCTGTGGTTCGCACCGTTGCCTCACAGCTAGAATGGTTGCCAGTTCGCGTCCCGATGAGGACACCCGGGATCTTTCTGTGTGGAGTTTGCATGTTCTCCCCGTGCAGCGTGGGTTCTCTCTGGGTTCTCCGGCTTCCTCCCACACGGTCCAAAAACATGTTGAGGTTAATTGGTGATTCTAAATTGTCCGTAGGTGTGAATGTGAGTGTGCTTGGTTGTCTGTCTCTAAGTGTAGCCCTGTGATAGACTGGTGACCTGTCCAGGGTGTCTCCTGCGTTCACCCTGAGTCAGCTGGGATAGACTCCTGCCCCCGTGACCCTAATGAGGATTAAGTGGTTTATAGATAATGGATGGATGGATGTTGTAAGGTAGCAGGCAACTAGCATGATTTTAAAATGGTTAACTAGGGGAATTACAGGACTTGTGATGGTGTGGTTTAGACAAAGTTTACAACACAATTGAATAAAATATATGCTTTGGCTGTAAATGTGTTGGGTGATAAGAAGCCGTACAGATAAAAAGATACTGTAGAAAAATACACTTCCTGGCTATTTAGCAATTATCTGTTTCTCCAGGAATCTACTGACCATATTTTGAAAAGCCATCACAGACTTTCTACTAAATCCAGGCCCTCACATCCTCCCAGTTCAGAAAATGGTTTAAAAAAATTATTTAGCAATGTCTAGAGACTTCAGAGCAACTGAGCACTGGACACAGTGATCTGCAGGGATCAGATGTGTTATTTTAATGCCACTCAACTCAATATAAGCTAAAACGTGGGACTTGAGCTGTTTTATTCCGACTAAGGTTGTCCTGCATATTGCCTATAGATTACTTTTACCATATTTCTCATCAGTTTAACTCACTGGTAATTCATACTCTAATGTAACACACACAGTTCAGAGTGCAGTCGAGCATTTTTCCAGTGATACAGTCTCTTCTCTTTTTTACCATGATAAAATATACAGATTCTGTGTATTTACACCTGTGTATTTCATTGTGTTAATACTGCGGCGCACTCATCACAATTACATGTCTCATGTTTTTGTGTTTGTGCATGTGTGTTGCCATTTCTGCCCAGCAGCAGATGGGCGTGGCAGGGAGCGACAGCGGGAGCCATCGTCTACCCTGGAGGTGCCTGATCAGCAGAGGACGCCCACCCATCACATACGTTCCCGTTCGGTCTCCCCGCACCGAGAGGAGCAGGGTCGCATCCGGTCGCGGCCACCCAACGTTCCCACCCAGAGGTAAGGGTTGATGGTTCTAGGATGGTTCTATTTTACCCCAAACATCACTGATACACTCTTTTGTGTAAAGACTGAAGGTTTTCCTGCAAATACGGGTGGCAAGGCTTGATGTCTGATGGTGATGGCTAATAAAAGACCAATACCAGCCTGGTGAGATGATGCTGGTTACTTTTAAGACTACAACAGCAGAGAGAGAGAGAGAAGAAATGAGGAGAGTTTGCTGGAAGCCAGCAAACTGAGTCCATCTACTAATGAAATGTCTGTCTGATGCAGAACACACAGTGCTGCCAGCTCTGCTTTTACAGCCAGAGCCAAATGAGCCCCACCAAGTCTGCCGCAATACCGCCTGACCACTAACCTGAAATAAGTCTTCCTTCCTTTCTTTCTTTTTTTTTTTTTTTCTCCTCTGTCTCTTTTACTCTTTCCTTTAGGAGTCTGGATGACGAGCTTCCTCACACTCGTCGTTCTCGTTCACCAACGCGCTACTACGACCCTGCCAGAGGTCGCCATCAGGGGGAAGAGTACCTGGATGACAGGTTCGTGTCTGTCTGTGACCACAACTGCACCACTTGTTACATAATTACTAAATGTCAGCAGGACTGCTTCCACTCTGTGTCCACAAAAATATTATATGAATGTTTGCTTTTTGTGGTACGAGGCCATTGATATTTGTGAAAATCTGCATCTACTTGCAGTCGTGTGTGGTGTGAATGCCTGTTGTCAGTACTTTCAAACATAAATATATCAAACAACCATTCACCATTATCTTCTTTTTCATATTTCTAGGTTTTTTTCCTGCCTTTTATTTTAGCAAATCTCCTTATTTACTGTTTCCTTTGTATCTTGGAAGGTGTTTGGCGCTGTTGCTGTTTGGTGATTGTCATATTATATAAAGTGACCTTAGAGCTGTGTTTAGAAAAGAAGGCGTCGGTAGCAGAAATCTGTGGCATTTCTAAATATGTGTGCGTGTGCGTGTGTGTGTGTGTGTGCGTGCGTGTGTGTGTGTGTGTGTGGTGTGCATAGAAAACAGCGACAGCTTCTCTTTCCTATTCACCCTCTTCTCCCTCTGCTCTTCTGGTTTTTTGACTGTTGTTGATTTCCTCATGTGTCATCCATCCCCATGGTAACCACAGTGAGGTCATCATGATCCACCAATCAATGCGAGGCAAAAGTGCTGAGTGCCTGCACACCAGGTAAACTGGCCAATCACGACATGTTGTTTACATTTTGGTTTTGGATTTGGGTTCTGGATGAGGTGTAGCCTTATGTGCAGAGTGTTTTTTGTCAGATTGTCTTTCACTGGAGTTTTATTAAAAATACTGAGAATAGTACTGATAAAGAGATACTTTAGGAGGTACTTGTACTTTGCTGTAAAAGTAAGTAAGTAGGTGTTTTAAACATTATATTGTGTCATCTTACTGTGTACAGAAAATACATCAAAGCATACTTTTGGCTACAGATAAGGCTGGAAAATATATTTTAGTTTTAGTTAGTTTAAACTTTAACTTCCCTATACCGTCTGTCGCTCTTAGCCCCAAGCCCATTCGTTTCTGTGGCAAAGAGGGATACGGTACATCAGGCTTTGGATACACATACAATACTTGTTTTCAGCATACATTTATTGCTGGTCTGGGTCTATTCATTGGATTTTTTAATAGTAGGAAAAATCTACAGATTTAAATAAATAAATAAAATGCCAGTACATCATTTATCCTTTAAACACAAGATAGAAAGCATTAGCTTGAAGTAATATTTGAAAAAGGAGGCCAAGCAGCTGATAAGTACTGTGGTTGTTCAGTTGTACTGCTGCCTCAGATCCACAAGAGGACACTCCAGGACCATACTTGCATTCATACTGATGCTGTTCTACAACCAGCCCAACAGTGTGGCTTGCTCGAGCTAGACTCTATACAATGTGTTTGCCCTCTTGTAGAAAGCAGTCATTATTTACCAACACTGTCTTGGACTAAAATGATTCAGAGATTTTGTCTCTGCACATTGCTACCGTTGTACAGTTTGAGATATCAAGGCTTCTACTGCAGCATAATAGTTATTGTGTGTCACATGTGCTGTGGTCACATCCACATGGGTCTTAGATTGCTATTTGAGCGCACAGCCAAAGAGGTAAGTTACACTCTTGAGAATACATCTGTGTGTCTCATTAGAGGTGGATGAAAGTTCTCCCTCTACAACCCTCTGACTCTGATAGACCTATAATAAGCTGGCAACACTTAGGTTGTACTTTCTATACACATGGATGTGTTTGACGGAGGAGGGTGTTATTAAGTGTGTCTGTAGAGACGAGAGTCGGCTTTTGATGCTTGTATGCTTTCATGCAGTGCTGTAGTTCTACTTGCTTACACTGCAAAAACCTACAAGCTTACCAGTGATTTTTAGCAAGGAATGCACTGTCCAGGAAAACGTTTGAAGGCTGTATGACTTGTAAACACAGTCTTGAAGCATGAAATCTTAGTTGCTTTAAAATAGATTAAAGCACCCAGTAGGCCAATCTAATTTAATGTCTTTGAACAAGCTGAACCCAGCATCAGATGAGCTAAACAGTAGTAAATAAAATCACTGGATAAGTTGCCACATTTTTTTTATTTTTTTATTTTTTTTTACCATTCAGGAACTTGTGTCTGTTGTCCAAGCACTCCTACGCACTTGTTTTTTTCTGCTCTTACACCCATTCCTTCCATTTCCTACTTGTGTTTGCTGCATGCATGCTAACATCAGGAGATCTACTAGGCACAATAACACACTGCCACCTAAGATGCCACTTTTGTTCAACGGTACCCACAAACACACAAACAGGTAAGTGTTAAGTTTTGGGTTCAGTATGCTTCAAATGAAAAAAAAGGGTTTCAATCTGGAAAGGTTGTCTTGACTTTCTATTCCTCAATTAATTTTCTTGCAACAGTATTTTCAGTGTTGCTGCACAAGACTCTACAAATAATGTAATTATCTTATGGCTGCTGTTTTTTTGTTATTTTAGCATTATTTCAGAGAAATTACGTTTTGTTCATCACTGTGGGTGTAAATACTACATTACCCATGAGCCCCAGCTCCCACTGCTGTGGTGTAAGAGGGATGAATCAGAGATGTAGTAAACTGAAAGTGGTTCACTGTTGCCTTTTGCACTTAAATTTGAGATATAGTTGGAGAAGCCCAGAAAGGCTAAAGTGAATCTATTTAAGTTCCAGTGTGTGTAACCAGCTTTCCTAACAGTGTCATCTTTGGCTTCTGCCTGCTGTTAGTGGTCTACACAGCACAACTTTAAGCTTGACGTCTTCCTGGAAGTTTTCTTTTTGTCTATGCACCTTGTAATTTTAGTATTTTAGAACCAGATAGTTGTTTTACACAGTTGTTCTTTTTGGACTGATAATTCAAGAGCTTCTTGCCCATACTTGTCATGCTAGTACTCCGAATGTGAATCCAAAAGAAAATAGTTTTTACTTTTGATAGTAGTGGCTTTTTAAAAAAAAAGTTAAAGCAGTGAACATTTACCTCTCAAGTTTCTAGGTTTTTGTCTCTGAACAGCAGGAAGCATGTCCCAGCTGACTTTAAAAAATAATTAAAACTTGTTCAATTTAAAATCATTCCTGAAGACTTCTCTTTCTCGTAGATGGCCAAAGTGGTGTTTGTTTCTTCCTTTTAGGGTTTAATTTAGCAGTTGGCAAACAACTCACCTTCTACTTAGTTTATAACTGCCATTTGTACCGTAGCCTATACTGCCACCTTCTGACAACACTAAGCAGCCGAGTTTATTTGCTCGACAGCAGTTAATGGGAGCAGCTTTATTCTCTTTTTTTTTTTTCGTTTTTTTGTAAAATGTCTGACACTTGTATGAAAGCACAGCTAATGAAGTATAATAAGCATAACTTTTAATTTAGGGAACAAGAACATTTAAATAAAATAAAGCTACCAATCTTTTATCTGCTGTCAGCTAGCCTTTTCTACCACACATTTGTTTTGCATGTGTTTGTAGACTTGGTAAAATGAGTTATACAAGTCAAGATAATGGTGCAAACTTTCAAAGGAAGAATAAAGTCAAACAAAAGCACACATAGTGACAGAAGTAATGTAAAGAATGCTTAAAAGAGAAAGCAAAAACCCTGCCAATTGGATGTTACTGTGATTGCTCAGCCCCCATTTTCAATGTTAGAAAAGTCCTTTTCTAGACACTGTTAGATGATCTGACTAGCACTTCACTTGAAGCATACTGAAGCCTTTAAACATTCTGTTGTACCAGTGTTTCTCAACCTGTGTAACGATTAATCAATAATATCAGAGTAAGGACATCTGCAAAATTGTGCATCCTCATGGTAGAAGAAGATGCACAAGCTTGCAACCTTTATAAGGTTGTGAGCTCCTTTTGTGTGACTATTTTCTAAGGCAGCAAGAGCTTTAATTTTCAGTCTCATTTCTTTCTTTTACTTAATTTCATTTTTGAATGCTTGCCTCTTTTTTTTTGTTTTGTTTTGCAATTTTCATCTTGTAACTAGTTCCACGCTGCCTGCATGTCAAAAGATAAGCTCTATCATGGGACTGAAAAAGATCACGGCACCACGCCGCTCCGTCACACACCGCGTTCTAATGCCCACTGATGAGGGGACACTTAGGTAAGACACAAACTCACACATACAGATGATCATTCATGGTTAAGTTTAAGCCTTCCAAGTTGGGAGAATATTGCACAGATCATTCCATCCATAGCCATGACAGTTAAGAGAGCTGTTTTCCACCATACTCCATCTCCATGACAGCCATGACAACTTAGACACTCCCATGCTGATGCCAGTCCGTCAGTTACGGTTTAGTTCTTGGACTAGCATTATCATTTTGGGAGTATAACCGGACTTTCTTTTGAAATACTTATTCTGTTTGTCCATTGTTTTTCTCTTTGTGTTTGTTTCTGTCCTCGCCTCCTGTCTCCTCTTCCTCTCCTCCTCCTCTTCCTCCATTGGATGGCATGTTGTGCTGTGGTGCATCTAGTGATCTGCAGCCTTCTCTGGACAGGGTTAGGAGCGCTAGTGCCAACTGTCTGACTCCAGACAATCATGTCCCCTCACCAAAGACTGAAAGGTACCAGCCTCTGTACCCACCCCCTTCCTCTAGTCCTCCTGTAGTTTCTTGTCTTTTAGCTTGCCCTGGTCTTTGTAGTTCCTTCCCCTCTGACTGATCCTACAGTAGCCAAATATTAAACCCCCTCCTCCCCTCACTTCACCCACTCCACCACTGTGCACCACTCTACTCCTGCTGCTCCACCAAGCAACTCCTGTACTTTGCCTCGATCCTCATAGTTGTGTATGAAGGTGCAGCGATTTTCACAAAGTATATCATCAGCAGGTACCATTCGACATGCTCTTATACATTCAGTTTTCAAATGGTTGCAGTTTAGTAGCCTTGTGCCAAATAGTTGTTCAGTATCAGTTTCTAGGTGCCTAGACGGCTTCAGTGAAGCACGAGCTCTTGCGCAACCGGTGTAATTGGCTCTTTGACAACAGAATCGGTGCACCTCTTGCTACCAAACACA